TTTGCCGAGCAGGGAGCACTGCACCCTGGTCTCCTCCTGCAGTGGGAGGGCTCTCCTCAGCATGGCAAATATAACATCACAGACCCCTCTGCTTTCTCCAGGAGGCATGTACAAGAGGTGTCGATATCGCATCAAACAAAAGCAGTGGGGCATCTAGGTGTTAATCACAGTTTGAGATTCTTGTGATATCAAACTCACCGATGCTGTTGTACAGGGAAAAGCCTGAGGGAAGTTTGCCTCCAGCCTCAGGAGAAAATGCAGCAGGTGCTCCGGGATGAGGGGCAGACCAGCCCTGCGCGTAGGCTCTGGGCTTTATCCCCATCCAGGGACGATGAGTTTGCATGTGAGGCTGCACCCTCCACAGCACAGCCTTTGCCTCCAGGACAGGGAGCAGGCTGTGATTTTAGACTGTTGTTTTGTGGGCAGTTGATTCTTTTTCTGCTCCTTGGTAAAAAAGCAAATTTCATAGCGAAATCTGGACTCTGCCCATCACGAGCTACCCAGGGCTTCATTTGTCTCCAGTATATGAAAAATAAAAGACAGGGTCTTGGTGAAGGTTGGAGAACAGAGGAAGGGGAGGCAATGTAAATACTGAAACCAGACTGAGCATCCAGAAGTCCAGTGTTTGGCCCTTCAGAGATGGTTGGGTCCTTAACTTTATATGTAGAGTTGACTTTGCATACAGGTGACTTTACGGATACATATGAAGAGTGGTCTTAGCTGATAGCAGAAAAGTAAACTGCAGCTGTGGGAATTTCTGTGTGGTGACACAGGCATCATACAACTTCACTGTGCTTCTTTGTTCTCCACTGGGCTCCAGTGTTTCCCATCAGTGTTGAAATAGCTATCGTCAGAACCCATGAGGTCACTGAGGAGGTATTATTCTTGCTCTCAGTAGGGTAATAAGTTGTTTTATAATTAATATTTAATGGGAGTGTGTTTGGAATCTCCAGGAAGTCATTAATAGTTGATCTACTTAAAAGAGGGTTATTTGGGTTCATCCCATCTACAATAATTATGATATGCATAAACTTGTGGACAGCAACCACAAAGGAACCTGGGATTTGAACCCTGAGGGGAGCAAAAGCATATCTGAATGAGTAACAGGTATCTGTAATCCATGTAGGATGGGAAACATACTCTCTGAGAATAAATATAGTATATAAAATCATACCTAAAGCTATTAATCTTTATGTTTAAACTTTTTAAATTGAAATTTATTTTGAACAAAAATTCTTCATTTAGACATGGTTTCATTGCCATGAAGCACAAATAATGTACAAAGCTCAAGTAAAACTCTCCCACAATACAAATCATGAGACTCCAAAGCAATTCCAAGAGCAGATTAGGTAACAGGTAACAGTATCACTAAAAACAAAACAAATAAATAAAAATGAAACAACCTCTAACCCTCAGTCATAAGCAATCAGTAGAGAACAACAATGGATACTTTTTTTAAAAAAGACAAATAGCTTATTTATCCAAAATTGCATTTTTTGATTGACTGCAGCTATTTGTCATGTTATGCCAAGCTTGGCAAATAGCTCCACCCCGCCATAAATATTATTTTCTAAACGGAAATAGCTCATTTTGACAGTTTATAAACTAGGTATTTTCATTTTTTGTTTTGAACCAACATTCTAAAACTAAATATATATAGTAAATATTATAGATTTTCTTTAGAATCTATTGAAGATTAAATGGTTCACTTAGGGTGGAATAAATAGAATTTTTTATTACTTTTCATGAAGACAACTAATGGAACTGTAGCTGCATTTTTCTAAAAACCTGAAGATTCAGATATTCATGTAACAAGCACAGGATGGCAAGATATTCTGATGGACCAACAAAAGTTATCACTTCACTCTAGATATAGAAAAAATTGGAATTGTGTAGCTTACAGTGCAGGTGATATTGATGTTTATGAGAGTGAAAACAGAATATTTGAAACTTTCACTGAATCTCTAAATGGGAAGTACTTCAGAATTTTGAGTGATTTAGGGGATATGAACAGAAAGCTAAAAATTTATAAAAAACCCAAACCTTTTCTGTCCTTTTGCAGTGCTCTTAGCAAGCTTAGCCGCTACTGGTGTCATTGAGTTTATCAATGCTTATAGATTCAGGTAGACTCTGGGTACTGCCCTCTTTGCATGCCAGCTCTGATCCTCAGTGAGGAGAGGGAAGGCATCCCTTTGGGCTTCAGTCACCCTAAATCTTGCCTTGGAGTGATGCCCTTAATATCAGTAGCTCCCATTATTTTCCAGCTTTTTCTCTAAAGGAACTAAAAAGAGGGAGTCTCAAGGGGCAGTCTCCAATCCTGGACCAACAGCTCTGCTAAAGCACAGTCTAATCTCTGCTGGCCCCTTGCAATTGGTTTCAGCTCTTGTATCACCAGAATAGCTCAGAAAATTGGGATTTCAATAAAGAAATATAGCTTTTTATTATCAGGAGAAACCAGCATATATATATAAAAAACAACCAATCTTTTCTTTGTATTAGAATAGCTGTAGACTCATTAAAAGACATACTTCAAACTGATGCCCAGAAAGCCAAATTACAAATTAATCTAATGACAGAGACATAGACTAAGAATTGTTTGTTTTTTTTTTTTTTTTTTTTTTAATAAATTTAATAGGCTCTGAGGATCCCAGGATATTGCTTTCTTATCACTATGTTATCTCTTGACATACTGTTTTCACAGATCAAATTTTGCTGTTACACCTTCACAACTTGAAACTTGTGGACCTGGTCTAATTTCACCACTGAGTCTCAACATCTTTGCAGTATGTGCGATTAGCTACCTTTGCCACCATTTGCTGAACTGGAACACCTGCTTTTGTATTTCAAAGGAGGAAGTAAGTGAAAATATACAAGTATTGTTGCGCATAGATATGGACTTTTGTGCTATGTAGTTTCTGAAGTCCTCCAGTTTTGAAGATGTTTTGCTCAGAGAGCACCAGGAACCTCAGGCTTTGGCTGAAGTTTCATCTGGATTACAAGAAAATCTCCTGACCTGTGTCAGTGTGCAACATATGAAAACTGTCAGAAAAAGGCAGAAACTGCTGTGAATGACACAGGCATTTGATGAAAAACTAGTAAAACAAAAGAATAATGACTGTAGATGGTCCTAGTAAGTACTGTGGCATTATGTTTAATACATGCTTTAAGGCATTCTGACAGTAGCTGGTAAATGCAACAAAAATTAAGTCTCTAATTGAAAAGAACAACAGTGTGACCCTGAATTCATTAGAACTGTGCATTTTCCTGGGTTTAGTCATACCTGTAGGTACTTTAAGTAACGTCCTGATGCAGCAACACACTTCCACGTATGTAAGTTCTTTTAGTGTGATCTTGTAAAGTTTTGAAAAGGAAAATGTGAAAACAGAGGTGATATTGACTGGTGTTACATAGTTTCCAAAGCACCTTTATCATAAAGTTGGAAGCTTTATTTCCATGGCAGAGCTGCTTCAGTTCTGAAGGCAGGAATCTCATGATCCCCCTTTATACCAGTGTGCTTTATCCACTGTACTCCCACTTTTTTGCCTCCTGGATCTTGCTTTACATGGTATGGAGACATGTTTTTGAAGAGAAGTGGTTTGCTGATCTTCAGAGATGAGAACTGTGTGTTTGAAGACTCTCTCTGGGCTCCAGATGATGGAAGGGAGGCCTGATCTCTTGTTTACTCTTCTCTAACTTGACATGAATTCATACATAGATTCAGCAACGCCACCCATTTTACAGGCTTTGTTTCAAAAAAAAAAATAAGTGTTTCTGAGGACTCTGAGTCTGGAGATGATTCCTTGGGGTAATTAGAGCATGTCCACAGCACTGATCCCTCTCCAGGCTTCCCTGATGCTCCCTCCAGGGGTAGGGCAGGATCAGGCCATGCAGCTCTTTAGGCAAGGAATTTTCTTGGCTATAATGCTGCACTCTGGGTGTGTTGTGAATTTTCCATCCCAAACAAAGGCAGAGTGATCTTAGGCCAAGAATTCTTCAGCTTGTGAGTTCAGATTTCCCTTTCTTGTTTTCTGTAAGCCTTTGGACACACAGAGGGCTGATTTCTCACATCCCTGCTCTCGAGTGCGCACTTCACTGCTGCTCCTCAGCCCTCTGTGCCTGTCCTTCCAAGGCCAGCCCATCACCAACCTGGTCTAGGTGAGTGTGAACAAAGATTTTTAGGCTGTCTTTTTGAATTTAGTACTCCTAGCATCCTCCTAGATCATGTTTTATATTCCCATGTCCTTATTTGACTCTAAATCAAAAGAGGGTATATATTTTAGCCTTAAAGGTTAAAGAATCTGATACTTTCCTCTGACAATGAACAATGTCTTTAAGTGATGTGCAAGTCATATTTAAGTGCCTCTTATTTAAGAAAGTAATCTTTCATTTGTCTGTTTTTTGTGATTATTTGAGCATTTATATATTAATTTTTCCTCAGTTCTATAGGATTAGAAATATTTCTTTCATAGGATAAAATGAGGAAGCAGCCCAAGAGTATGCGAAATAGAGACCAAACTCAGGAGAAACATTAATTTTGAAGTAAGACTCTTTTAGCAGTAGTGATCAGATTAAATCTGAGTGTAGAGGCTTTTAAAATTTAACTTGCTAATAGGTCAGCAGTTGTGGAAACCCAGTCTTCACATTTGTAATGCAAGTTTTGCTCACTGGGGAAAAGGTCTGCAATTTAGCTATCATCTTTTGCAGTTTGCTGTATAGGAGGGGTGGTGTTTGCAATGTGATATAATGCTGTGGAAATAAATACTCTTGGCTAGAGACAATTATTCAGAGTAACTGACAGAGAACAACTGATAACAGTTGTAATGTGAGAAATGCCAAAAGATACAGTAGATTTTTATATGTGTAAGAGTTAAATTTTCCTCACTCAGATATATCTGTGTCCATTTCTGTTTCCATCATCTTGCCAAAGAGATGCCAGAAGGCAACTCAAGCATCTTTTCTCATGTCTACTGCCTCAGGATGGCGAGACTGAATTGGTAATGGGGCGACCTGTGCTGATTTAAGCAGGCTCCTGTGCTGATTCCCTACTGCTTTCCCTGGCTCTCTATGTCCAGTGCCTCCAGAGGATCTCAGCGTGCAGAGGCAAAGGTGAGAGGAAGTTTTACGTGAACACTTTCCTTCCTCCTCTGGAAACAAAACTCATGCTGCAATGCTAGTGCCACTGTTTTATTTTTGTTAGCTTGTTTTTCACTTTTCTGTTATTTTTATTTCTTGTTCTTTTTTTTTTTTTTTTTTTTTTTTTTTTTTAGGTGGACAACAAATCTGATTTATCTTAAATCAAGGCTCTTCTACCTATCAAACTTAGTGATCTGTAATCACTGAGGTTGTCCATTTCTCTTTCTCCTTCCTCTGTTTTATTTAGGGGGCATTTGGTTTTAGCTTTATTTTCTTTCAATGTTATTTTTTTCTCCTAAGTCACCAAGACCCTCTCTGAAGGGTCAAGAAACCCGTCTGAAGATGAATAAATGCCTTCCTTACAAAAAATATAACACCATTTTTAAGAAACTAACAAAATTAGAGAAGCCTCTGCAGAATGTTGAAGGCTTGATGGAAAGAAATGGAGGCAGATTTGTTCAGGGAATTAAGAGTTGAATCTGCTCGTATGTTATTCCCATAATTAAAAATGTAGGCATTTAGTGAAAGCATAATGTAACAGTATCTATTCAATGAGTAAATAAATGCTGGGCAGTGTTATACTACAGAACAGCAACCTATTATACCAATGACCTCTGTAACAGAACTGATGCAAGGAAATTGATAATATCTTTTACCAGTCCTTTTTTATCATACTTATATCATATGCTCACTTGTGATCATAGAGGGAGTTTCTACAGAAAGAAAATATTGGTTTACTTGCTTGTCTAGTGAGCAGTTTTGTTTTTATTTGAACGTCTGAGGAATCAGTTAGAATTTCCAACACTGAAATTACAGGTGAATATATGTGTACCAAAGATAAAGAACTATAAGAAAAATAATATTGTAGGCTGTGGGAGGAGGAAGAAGACAGGGCCATGAAAATGATGTTGGCTTACATGAATAGCTAGTTTAATTCCCTCAGTAAAATAGCCAGCAAGAAATACCCTCTTTCATCTACCTATCAGTGACATCTGCAAGTATTACCTGAATATATGTAAAATGAATAAAATGTTTTGGTTTTTTATTTTTTTCATTATTCAGTAATATGCTTTAATGCTTCATTAGCTCTGATGATATAATCTAGTCTTGATTAGTCAGGATATGAAGCAGCTGATTTCAAATGTTACTATTCTACAAAAAATTCTCTTCTGAAACATAGAAGTACCACCTAATGCAGTAAATATTTCAACTGGTAAAGGTAGTCCAGAAGAATTGGGATTTAACACATCAAGGACTTTACACTTTTGTTTGTTTGTGTATCATAAACACTACAGAAAAAAATAGACAGACAAATGAAAACATTTCCATTTGTTTAGGTGAAGACAGTATTATGCATGCAACTGCTCTCTTTAAGCTTGAAGAGTAGTCATGACAAGCTTCTTTGCTTCTAAAACTTCCTGGAGTAAAACATCAAAGAAATTATACACTTCTTACATTAACACAGTCAGTTCACACTTAAAGTCCTTCCCAGCCTGCTTGGTTATTCTGTTTGCTGTAACTGAATTAAAACTGTAGTATTTTTATTGTTGTCACAAGAATTTCCTTACTCAAATTTCTCTCTTTCTCCAAACAGGTTTCTCTAAACATACTCATGTCACTCAATGTCTAATAATGAAGACGCTTATGTTTGTTCTATCTCCTTGTTCTTCTCCTTTGAAGTGTTATGAGGATGGGCTTTACCATAGCATTTATGGCATTTTACAATTCTGTTGTTGTAAGATTGAGTTACATCTTCAGTGACTTAGTGGGGAGTCTTTATGAATGTATTTGTTACTCTTCTCCCCATGATAGTTTGACTCCGGTCTTGCTCTCATTGCTTTTTGTATCCCTCTAAAACCAGAGTTTACGTTTTTCTTTTCATGTTATTCGTTCTCCATGTGACATTGAAAAAGAAATGTACTGGTGTGCTCACAACTTGTAACATTTGGGAAATGTCAATGTTTTACAGTTGCAATATTTGCACTAGGAAGTACCAGAAGACCACTCTGTTGCTCAGACAGAAAACAGAAAGATAATGCCTGCTTCAGGAGATCTGCAGTCTGCTCATAGGATGAATGATATGATGAGGCCAGAAAACACAGGCAAGGGAGCAGATGATACTGGCAATGAAGTGATTATAAAGAGAAAGGTAAATATTTTTTGTGACATACTGCTTACCTAAATGTGAATTTTGGTTTCCCCCAAGCTGTGTGTGAATTTCAAGGAAAGGGCTGGACAAAGACACATTGGCACTTTTGCACATCCTGCCCTGTCCTGCCAAAGGATCCTGATGAAAACCTCCTTGTGTTCCTGCCTAAGGCCAGTGCAGTGACTGGGACAGCAGGGAAGGGCAGGACTCCTTTATCAGCACAAGTCCCTAGTGGGAATAAAAGGTAACTGTCAGTAAGCTTGTCATAATCAGGGGCTTGGTTTTAAAAATTAGTATAACTTCTTATTATTCACTCTGCATTTGAGTAAGAGTATGTGGAAATGTCTTCATGGCAATTATCTTTTTTAAAAACAGCAGGCACATGAGACTGCAACAAGATCTGAAATCTTTAGGCACACTGAATTCTGATATTTCTAAAAATCTTTATGTGTTCACTTTGTTTCTTTGTTTGTTTTTAATAGCTAATACTTCTCCAAGCATGCATAAGTTTCTGTACCCTTGGTATAGAACATAAAATGTGACATGCAGGTGAAGTACAGAAATCATAACAAAAGTGTCTATTACAGTATGACTACATATGATCTTACTGTCTGTAGTCAATACATATTTCATATGAATTAGGGAGGAAACAGGTACAAAAGGGCTACAAAGACTGTTGATACTCTCTCCTTTCTTTGCAAACTGTAGTCAAAGACCAATATGAGGGCAAAATTAATATGTTTAATTAGAGCAGTGCTCTGATTTCAGCTTGGAAGATGCTGTCCTGTGGTTCTATGAGGTCAGTTTACATGTTTTGGAATGTCTGGTTATATTCTGGGCCTAGGCATGACTTCTTTCACAGTTAAATTTGTTCAGCTACCTTTTCATTAAAAACCTGCTCTGTGATTTTGCAATATTTCCTGTGGAGCTGCTTTTGATGACACAGATATTATGACTTGAGACCTCAGAATTTCCATAAATAATTAGAGAAGTTGGTGGAAAGGAACATTTTAATTTTTTCCTTTTTTCAAACACAGAGCCAGGAGAAGAAAAGGAAAATTAAACCAAATGGCACATCCACAGAACACCAGAAGCTGATAGCTACAGTGCACATCCAGAGAGAAGCAACGAAGTCACGCAGGGCATCGCAGGGGCAGCAGCAGGGCTATGAGTAACCCCGTGGTGTTAAACCACTGCCAGGGTAAGAGTGCACACAGAGCCACACAACCTAACCAGCACCCTCTGCTTCCCACTTTCTCCTAGATCTTTCATTTGTTCCCCCGCTCACCATCCCCATGTCTATAAAAATAATCATCTCTGTAGCTAGCCAGGTTGTTAATTATTTACTGCAGCAGACTCCTCTGTTTTTCCCATTTCTTGATCTTGGTGTTTGTTCTGACTCACCGAATTAGGTGTCTCCCTCCTGGTGCTTGCACCATTGTACTCTTCTGTTTTCCTCCTGCCCAAGATGCATGCCTACCTTGCTAACATTTTGACTGACACTTTCTTCAATCAGTTCTTATTGACAAGAATTCATACTTTCATACTGCTTTTGTAAAATAAATAATTAAGTACATGAGAATTAAACCAAAGAATGGTAAAGATAGCAGTTATAGTATCGCTAAAAGATGATGATTGAAAATACTGTACACCTGAAAATCTTCCTGTGTTGCATTTCAAGGAGATAACATTTTTTTTTTATTATCCAATGAAGTCACATCTGTAACTAAATGAGGAAGAAAAATGTCATGTACTTCAAAGTTTTCTGACTTTGTTTTTATTATAAAGATAACTGAACCTGCTTTTGAGTACATCATTTTCAGTTGCAGTTTCCACTAACATTTTATTGTTGAAAAGCTATTGTCAATGTGCTGAGATAAGGCAAAAAGATCTGGTGATTATTTTTTGTTGGCTGTTCCAAAGACTTAGCAAAGGAAATAATATTTCAGGAGTTTCTGAGTGAATATAACAAGCAGGATGAGCTGTTTCCTGAATAAGCAGGGATTTGTAGCCCACATCTGCAGAAACCAGCTCTGTGGCTTGGTATAGCTGAGGACTGAATTTCCTGCTTTTTAAAGTTCAGGTTCCCCAGTGAAAGTTCAGTTCCTCCAGTGCTCAGCGTTGTTAGTTCCCTGTCTCTGATGGCATGAGGCACTCCTTAATGGAACAGGACAAATTGTTTTAGGATTATTAGGTGCACAAGCTGCCTGACAAAACTTGTTCTGAAGTCAAAACACCTGCGGAATCAGCTCAGAGCATTATTCCACTTCTGTAAGTTTTCTGTAACACTGTGTTTTTCCCTTCTTCTGTATTCTGCCTGCATTATTCCCACATGATTTGTTAAATCTGAGCTATTATCAGAGGATTAAGATATTACAATTAATTAAAATGATCCCTCTTAGTACAGACATAAGTAGTACATTATTGAATTTTAAATAGTAGTTTGATCCTTGGTTCAGTGGTGCAATACACTCACGAATTCAATGTGCCCCGAAGTTAGCCCACCGGCAGCCTTCCCCAGGGAGAAGCTGGCAGAGCCAGGCGAGCGCCCACCCCCAGCGCTGCCCACCCTGGGATGGAGAAAGAACAAAGAAAACTCTGTCCCTGGCTCTGGGACACGCTAAACTGCTGAACTGGGAAAGATGGACCAAGGCTTTTCTGGTTTTCTCTTTGTGACCAAGGTATCTGTGACCACTCTGGCATTCTGCGTGGTTTCAAAGCACCCTGCAAGCACACATGTAAATAAATAAAATGGCAAAGCTGATGTCATTCTATTCAGACCAAAGTAACTGTGAAATTCTTTGTCACGCAGAGAGAAACATTAAAATATGGCTAAAAATTTGATTAGAAGCAGGGATCAGGATTTGGGGCTCCCTTTATAAAAATATGATCTCAGGTCTTCAAAGGTATTTAGGCCCTTTACTTAAATCTTAATGAGGATTTGGCACCTAAATACTACTGTGGATTTGAGCCATGATCAATATTCCCTTAATCACTCACAAAATCTTTAGCCTGTTTAGAGAAACAATGTCTCAAAAATTCCCCATTCAGGTTTCTGTGACAGGTCTAATGCCACCATAAAGCTGCAGAGGGTTTTTAAGTGTCTAAAAGTTTCAGATGTTGAAGCCAAAATTACATTTTATATGACTCACAGACCAATACATCACTTTCTTTTTTCAGCGCTGTTATTTCCTGAATAACCCTGCTAAAACAGAATCGCATTGGGAAGGATGAGATACAAGGCCAGTGGAGAGGTTATATATTGTAAATAAGAAGGATATGCTTTTTATTTTAAGAGTAGTCTGTGACTCTTTTTTTTTAAATAATCCCAATGTATAAAACTTCAGCATACTTCTTTTATTGTCTTCAAATACTTATTACTGAGAACTCTTTTTTCTTCTACAATTTATGTTAAATCCTGGAGAAAGAAGATGTCTTTGAAAAGAACCTGGAAGTTTAATAGTTTGTGACTTTTAAGCTCCAAACCACTCAGAAATGAAGCAGCAACTCATTACAAGTACTTGTCGCTTTTCTGTCTTATCTGAAGTTTCTATTCTCTTGAGTGACTTTTAACAGCATTAAATCAACACCATCTACTCAAGAGTTGCCAGTCTAGTACTTTTTTGTCAGATGATCTTTCTTTTAATCTGATTTTGTGGAAAGCAGCAGGGTATTCCAGCTCTACAATTTATCTGCAATAACAACAATCAAAGCTGTTATTTCCCTTATTGTGTAAGAGAGCTCTGCTTTATCTCATATCGTGGAATTTTCCTTCCTTAACTGGCAGCAGCAGCTCAGGCCAAAAGCTGTGACAATGACAGTAACACAGAGGAGAAAGGCCACTTCTGATGACATTCGCTAGATCTGCTGACTGTACCGTCAGAAAAACATAATAATACTTTATGATAACAAATTTGTAGCCATCTAGCACCTGACATGTGACAATCTCCTGAACATTTTTGTCAATCAGAGCTTTGTGGTAGTGGCAGAGATCTGTTTCTTTTGCTTAAAATCAGTTAAAGGAAAATTCTTTAAGCCATAGATTCACTGTAGCAAGATGAAATTTTGGGTGTGATGGCAGAAGAGGCTGTGCATAAGGCAGAGCCTGAAGACATCAATAGTCAAGGTAAGTAAATTAAAATACTTCTGTATTAAATTAAAATACCTCTGTCTGCAGCTGGCTGTCCTCCCTCTCTGCTGTGGTTACTGACCCTGAGGGTAGAGGCAGCAGGACAGAGCTTAGATTTGCACCTCACTGCTCCAGTTCCAGTTTCAGAGTATTATCATAAGCCACTGATAGGAAGCTATAGAAAACCCCTAAAACCACACTGGCACAGAGGACTGGAGCTTTGACTCTGCCACCCTGATAGAGGGGTAACTGAATTACAGAGAAAAAGGAGAACAAACATCTGAGGGCAACAAGGTCTTAGGCAGCTACAGCTAGATTTGACGTATTCCAGAAACTGTCTGTTCTGGACATCACAGGTGGAAAGAGTTAGACTGCTGGCTGAGATTTACACCCATGAGCTGGATTTGTGAAATTTCATCCTAACTATGTAACTGAGGTTGCCTCAGACAGACAGACAGCTAGGAGGAAAGGCTGAGGGCAGAGAGAAATTCTGACTTTTATTCCAGCTTTCAGCAGCTCAGAAAAATTCTAAAGCTTGTGTTTATGAAAGACTGGCATCTGTAGCCCGAAGGGCTCCAGTACTCTAGCTGCCAGTTTGGGTTTGGATACTGTCCTGTAGTCTTCTTTTAAAATTCAATGGAAGGGGAAGGTATCAGTGTTGCAGTCCACATTTTCTTTAACAAATGACTTTCGGAGGAAGCACAAAACTGTTTTCTCTGCCTTCTTTATCTGGAAAAGGGTCAAACCTACATCTCACATATCCCAGAAGCTGTGCCTTCACTTCCTGCTTTAAGGCAAGGATGACAGAAGTTTATTCACTGCTTTTCTGCTGAAGCTGTGCCATCGTGCAGAAACAAAAACAAGACCAAGAGGACCAGAGAGGGAGAAGAGAGTAAACAACTAAGAATGTAGCTCACAGCCCCATAACATGAAGCCTTTCCCAAGAAGAGTTCACATACTGCTTCTGTATTTTATTCATGGATTCTTCAATGCAAAAATGCACCAATAATCTCTGGGACAGGGAGCACAGCCCATAGGAGGGACCACATCAGATCACTAAAGAACCTCTTTATGTTCCCTTTGTTTACTGTTTCCATGGCTTCTGAATCTTCTGCTCTTTCTACAGTTAAATCTACATGGTATACTGTGTGCTGAAATCAATATGGCCTACCTACAGTGTGAGCCAGACAAAAGATATGAGATCAAGATGACATGTCCATGAACTAATTTACATTTTCTAATCAGTATGTATTAAGTTGTACTCTGGCTTCTGCATGATTTTAGCATTACATGTATCCCCAAAGTTTTTCAGAACCCAAGAACTAGATGTCACTTCAAAATCCATGTTAGGCAATATGCTCCTAGTGTTAAGTCAAAGCTGTTAAGATTTAAAAATAGCAAAAATAGCTAAAAATAGCATAATAATGTCTTAGCTCACCTCTTCTTGGGTAGTTTTCTATCCAGAGATCTGCATAATCCATGAGGACTTCCTCATTGTGTATATGAACTCTGTGGCCACTATGACTTCAAGGCCAGCAATTTGCAGCACCAGAGGTCAATAATATCTTGCTTTTCAATGTCAAGTATTCACCCCAGAGACCACTGAGGCAGTGACAGAAGTATCTGATAAACCAGGAACAGGCTGTCCAAATCTCACAATCTCAAAATAGTAACAAGGACATCCTAGTAACATCAGTCTTCTCTTGCAAACTAGCCCTAGAATGTCTACAGATTGTGATGTTGGTTACCAAGTCATTGCTAGCTCTTCAAAGTGATACCAGAATAATCATTGCAGTTAACAGTAGGAACACTATACGCAAGGTACAAACCCCCTCAAATGCATTCTGTTCAACTCTGTCACTGCTGAGCTTTGTGTGGTTGGAGCAAATGTTTTATGTGACCAGAGCACATTTGGTGCATATGCTCTTGAAAGCTCCTAAATGCTTGAACTCTCAGATTTTTACTTCCAAATTGTCTAACCATAAGATGAATTCATTTCAGCTGATTCTGTGATGTCTCTCTACGTGATGAAAGGCTGAACTTTAAGTTTAGTTAGGTGCCCAACTGATTTATGTAGGGTTCTCAGTTATCACTCACTTTGGCAGAAATGTTTTCATTCCACATAGCACCCACATCTGCAGATGAGTCACATGAGTGAATTTCTTCTCCTGAGAAGCTAACAAAAAAAAGTTGGCACCTCTTAATGGTGAAATAGGACCTAAAGCTCTGAATTGCTGAGCTCTTTCCACTACCGGTAGAGATTACCTCTTTTGTCTAATTTTCTAACTGAAATGTCTCACTTAAGTGACTAAAGTTAGGCAGGATAAATCCAGGCCC